CCATAAATAACTGATTAATGATTATTAATATTGCTTATTTAGAACATAAGCCCACAACCATTGAAAATAGATCTATTAAATTATCGCCTAACAAACACTAACAAGTTAAGGAAAAACCTATTAAATATACATAAAATTAACGGATCCATCATTGTATGGACAAATTACATCGCTGAAGATAAAGAATTTTTATACTAAGAATAATAATACGTCAAAGGAATGCTAGGATATGGATGTGATTAAGGAGACTTAAAAAAGCCAACTGCATGGCAAATCCTACAAAAAACTACTAATATAAAAATTATAAAAAAAAAAAAATAAACATGAAATTAAAAAAAGTCTCCAATCCTCAACTATATATGAAATTTTCTTAACGTAATTAATTAAGTACAAGCCCTTTAAACAAATCAGAACCAGACCTGTTTGAACGTTTCCCCTGAATCTGGCAAAGACCTCAATTCGTATAAAATCTCAACAAGTCAACGACCTCCTATAAAAGGTAGTTAAACTTAGTATTCACGGAGAACGAATCTATCAAAAAAAATTAAGTACCCATTGGTAGCAATTACTTACCTATCTTTTGAAGTCAAGAATTCCAAGGAGCACCTATGTAATCATAAATGCTCTATACCACTGAATTTGCATAGTTTCAGGGTTATAAATATAAATAATGCTCCTAACAATAAAAAAATTTTTTATCTACCAACATGGCCACATTAAGCAACAATATAAATAGAACAAGAATTAATTACGAGGGGTTACCAGCAAATTGCTGAAATTGTTATCTCTAACGAATAGTTTCCCCGTCCTTGTTAAGGAATCTTTTCGCTTTTTGCTCAATATGACTTTATTTCTAAATTGACCAATTTAAACCCAGACATTGCTACTGCATTCTTCATGCTAAATTTATATGAGATGTATACGTACATAAACCGCAAGGGTCTAAATATGTTTAATTCTAACGGACAGAAAGTTATTAAGTTTTCATTACTTTAGAGAAAGAAAAAATGTTTTAGAAAAATTAATATAGCTATATGTAATAATATTGTATACGTAATTCATCGATTGATAATATGATTTTTCACGTAGCTTAAGGTTAGAGTAGTGTTGCGCGATCTCAAGGTCGCGTTTCAATTTCTGTCGGTGCTTACTCGCATTTTTCTAATTGGTGGTTACGTGTACAACTTCTCTGTAAACAAATTCTAACAAATATGGAATCAAAGAATCTGCTAGACTTATTTATATAGCTTTCTAAAACGAATACAAAAATATGGTTATAAACAGAAGCGTTTTAGACCAATGTATCATTTTTTTTCTGAAAATTTGGAAACTATTGTAGGGGTGCATGTAGATGACCGTATAATTTTAGTTAATGCACAAAAATTTAAGTTGAACAAGAAGCGATGTAATTAGAAGACAATTAATAGAACTAGTCCAATAATTTAATATAGACACAAAAGAAGATTTCCTGTGCATTTTCTTAACTACCAAATTAGAACCTCCTTCAAATGAAATAAAAGTGATGGCCTTTACAACAGACTTGTGAGTTACTAAAATGTATATAGCAGATCGCACAAAACCTAACATCGCTTAAATTACCATTCTCTTGTGTTGAATTAAGCAATTTTACGACTTAGTGCTTTATTATTCACCAAAAGAACGTCTCTCCCTCATAAACTTTCTACGAAAGTTATAAAATTTGATAGTGCTACAGAGAACTAATGCTATAGAAATAGAATACTGTGACTCTTTTTGGGTTGATTATAATGAATACCGTACTACGATGGGGTACAAGTTAGTAAACGGTAATTTTACAATATATAACTAAATTCGATAAGAGCGCTAATCATATGTCGTAAAGCGAAGCTGTATACATAGCATTTATTCGTGCTACTGCTAATCCTATTTTTAATAAATTTTTAAAGCATTTCCCCTCACCCTGTTGTTGTTTTTATGGTCCGAAGAGATCTTCCAAATATGGCAATTTTCTTTCCCCAGACCTATTATTATCAGATACCAACAATCTGATATTCTGTTCCAATAAGGTGGAACTCCTAGCGTTGAAAGGGTGGTATACACGCCCTACACCTTTTCTTGACCTCTATTAAACTAATTCATGAGGATTAACAAACTGTACTTATTTTTTTGAGCTAATACAACACGGGCCACCACCATAATTTCAAACTCATGTTAGGTATCTTAATAAATGCATTATAATATCTAACAAATAATCCCAAAGAAAAAGAGAACGAAGACTAATTTTGATTTTAGCTTAAAATTTTGAATGTTTTACATATCATTCCGAAATATTTTTGATATCATGAAGGTTCTTGGTTTTTGGGACTTTGTAACCTTTCAGGATTTTACAATACATTCTTGTTAAAAGTTATAAATACATACAACTAAATGAACATAAAATGAAAACCCGTGAGCAAAAGAAGAAAGCAAAGACAAAGAACTGAGAGCTAGCGTCATATTGTGCATCGAGTATATTTATTAGTGTTGCACCAGACTCAAAACAAAAAATTAATCCTCCCTACTTAGAAACTGATTGCAATTAAATGTTCTACAATTATTACCCAACACATACCTTACGAATAGAACCTTTACTACTAAAGAACTCCATAAAGTCTTTTATTAGAATTCTTAAAGTATGCTAAGGCACTCTATCATCCCCTTTCCTTTTTCTCTATCTACGAGCACGTTATGCCACAATTAATAAAAATAAAATTGGCTTACTTCGTTGGTGTTACCGCTTTTTCTTGTAATTATATTTTGAAATTCACTTAACTAGTGTTAATAAACATACAATATTACTTGACAGTGCTCAAGGCATGGTTCTCAACATGAAAGTAACGATTATAGATTAAAGGAGGATACTGCCTTAAATCTTTAGTGTCTCACATTAAAACAATGTCCCACAGCATGAAGGTTGAATACTCTGAAATTACAATTGAGGAGAGACTAAGACTTGTATAAGAGCTTTACCTTATACGGAAACTAAATCTACAAATCATTTATTATAGAGCATCAGTGGGTGACTAACAATCAAAATTATTATTCAACATGTAAAAGTAAAATTAATATATTGCTGTATTATCACGGGTGTACTACTGGAAGAGCCACGATCTGGATAGGGTAAAAAATTATACTAGGCCAGCTGCATTCTCAAAATTACTTTCTACTACTCTCGTTATGAACGAGCCCCCACTAGCCAAAGCTGAATTAAGCTTAAAACTACAACTTAAAAATATATACTCAAATAATATTATTAAACACGCAGGCCCGCCAAAGGCATTTTAAACGAGTTTACTTCTTAAAAAGACAACTCTGATTTAGTATTTGCGAATCTATTTACCTTCACGGTGTTAAGTAATACTTCTGAACGATTATTGGAATTTTATAAGAAAATTTTATGCAAAGCTGATATGTGCCCAAATTTCAAATTCATAGCTCGTTTTTTTTTTTTAAATTTTTAATCCTTGTAAGAGAGTGATCCTTACCAACAAATTAAAAAAGTTAAAGTGATAACAAAGAATAATATCCCAATAAGAAAAGATATTAGAATGGGTTATAGAGAGCACGCGACTGGCAAAAAAATATTTGAAACAGTACGCTAACATCCAGAAACAGATTCTAAAGTGGAATTGAGTGTACATATAACGTCAACCCGAGGCTTCAGTCCTATGGTGGTGGCGCAAGCTAATTCAATAAATTTACCTTGCTTTCTCTGTAGTGTTACTTAGAGACGCTATAGTTAATCACTAAGAACTACGCGTACTAGAGCCAGTAGTAATCTATAAAATTTGTACAGGCCGCCACTTTTGTACGATTTATAAAAACACAAAAGCATAGCCATAAACAGAATGTATTAATTGAGCGAATAAAACCGAGTAATAAAACATTAAGGTTACCTACTTAGAAATACTGTCGTACTTCAAAGTTAACAAAAAATGATAAGCTCTACTACCTCCCATATTTTGTATTACTGTTACTGTTGTTAAATTTGTTACAAGCCTCAGATATTGCCATAAAACGATTCCATTCTCCATATTCCTGCTTTTTTGGTAAATTAAAAAATAATGATTGTATCCGTTATAAAACTGTCGGCTAAGTTAACTAAGAAAAAAACAAATTACAGTTAAAAGTAAGTTTCAAGAGCGCGGTTTTGTGTGCTCTCCGATTAATTTTCATTAAGTAAACAAAAATATAACATTATTTTTATTAAAGAAATTGTAGAACTTAACTTTCTATGTATAATTTTTCACTTCCTATTGGCTATATTTCGTTTAAGTTCTTTCCTGTGATTGGCGCGAATCCAATTCAATGTTATTAAAAGTAGTTTTATAGTTAAAAAACTTATCAAAGAAAGTTTAAATTATTTCTGCAATAATGTTTGGTAAATGATATTTAAAGTCACCTTGAAAAATTATCTTTAATGGAATTAAAGTACACATAAGCATTTAAATTTAAACAACTTTGTATATTTTCTGTGCAAAAAAAAATTTCAAAAAAAAAGATTTGGATATGTAAGTGCCACGTAACTCTCAATAACTCTTTCAAAATCTTATAATTACAAGCTTGCATATATAATAGACAGAAGAGTTAATATAAATTTATAATAGTCTTCATTTTAATAATAATAAATTATCTAAATAGAATGTAATAATAGCTAAATCTGTTGAAATTTCACAATAAATAATGATAAGCCTAACGAGGGGCGTGCTAAATAACAAAGCGAATGAAGCAATGTAGGGAAATTCTCAAGTTTTAAAGGTGGTTGAATTTGCAGGCTGAAAGTCTTCATAAACTTGTATATTATATATAGTATAGCAATATAATAAATATAGATAATATAAAATATATTGTAGATAGTAAAGTGATAGAAAAAAAAAAATTTAAAGTACTTGAAAGCACTGTAAACTTAATTTAACCTTTAAGGCTCACCAAGCGCGCCCCACCCACATATATGTAAGACGAAGAAAAATAATAATCGTCACATGACCGCAAAACAAACATAAGCCCTTGAACACATTATAGACATAGCAAAAAAAATTCTCTAGCATCCACAATGTGCTTTAGCACGTGATTATTTATTTAAACAAATATTGTAGAAATCTACTGGAGTTTTAGGATGTGAACTATAGTCATGGTCTGGTTACGGTTTTTACTGTTTTAGTTATATTACTACTTTAATAGGCCATCCTTAATTTTTTTATTATTTTATTCCTACACATATATTAGTTTGAGAAGTCTTCAAATAAACATTTTAAAAGGCCTTTCTCAGAGCCTACCAACGGGATTAATACAGCATGTTTAAATAAAAAAAGTAAAAAAGAGCAACCTACAGTGGATAAACCTCTTGAAAGTCTTAGCCAAGATATTAGCATTGAAAAAAGTTCTATACATATTAATTTGATGCCTCTGATTATTAATTAGATTCTTGCTAACTTTAGGCAGTGATGGTGGCTTAGCATTTTTTAGTTCTTTGAAAGATTTTGTTTCTGAAAAGACATACAAAGGTAATTTTTATGATGTTAACATAATATTTAGTTGTATATTCGAAAATTATACAGGAATTTTAGACTTGGGCTTCCCAAGAATGACGGAGATTCAAAGGCAGTCCATACCGCCTCTTTTAGTGGGAAAAGACGTTCTTGCGTCCGCTAAAACAGGTTCTGGAAAAACTCTTGCTTTTTTAATACCAGCGGCTGAACTTATGTACAAGCTTAAGTTTACTCCTAGAAATGGTTTGTTATTTTATAATTGTATATATATATATATTATATGTCCTTTTTATACAGGTACTGGAGTCATTGTTATAACTCCTACACGAGAGCTAGCTCTCCAAATTTTTGGCGTTGCCAGAGATGTTTTGAAGTACCATAGTCAAACTTTTGGTATAGTTATTGGAGGTGCTAATCGTAAGGCCGAAGCGGATAAGCTGAATAAAGGTTATCGTTATACCGTTTTTATTTATATTTCTTTACTTATGTTACTAGGAATAAATATTCTCGTTGGCACACCTGGGAGGTTGCTCGACCATTTGCAATCTACGAAAGGCTTTTTATATCGCAATTTACAACAGTTAGTTATAGATGAGGCTGACAGGTTTGCTTACTTGCTTGTTTCAAGAAACTATAAAAACTATTTTTAGGTGCCTTGAAATCGGTTTCGAAGATGAAATGAGGCAAATAGTTAAAGTACTTCCTGGCAACCGTCAAACAGTGTTGTTCTCGGCGACCCAAACTAGGAACGTTGAAGATTTGGCCAGAATTTCTTTGAAAAAGGAACCTTTGTTTGTTTTTTTCAATTATTAATGTTTGATTTATTTGTTTATAAATATCTAGTAAAGTATTTTATATTAAATATTACTTCTTTGGATACTTTAAGGTATATCGGCGTGGATGATGATAAAGAACACTCTACAGCAAGCGGTATAGAGCAGGTAGTTACCACGTCTTGCCCCCAGCTACATTAGATATAATTTCAAAGAAACACATTTGTTAGGGTTACGTGACGGTCCCTCCAGAGTACCGTTTTTTACTGCTTTTCACTTTTTTGAGGAGAAACCTTACCAAGAAAATGATGGTATTATCATTAGGTTGATCCCTAGTTGTGGGTTAACTTTGCTTTGTTTATAGGTTTTTATGAGCTCTTGTAATTCTGTAAAATATCACGCGGAACTTCTGAATTATATTGATGTTCCTGTCATGGATATTCACGTTTATTATATTATTCTTTGCTTTTGTTTTTCTTATTATATGTGAGCAGGGCCGCCAAAAACAAGCTAAAAGGACGTCTACTTTCTACGAGTTTCAGCAGGCAAAGTCGGGTATTCTTCTTTGCACAGACGTGGCTGCTCGAGGTCTTGATATCCCCGCCGTCGATTGGTGAATGTATATTATTATTATTTAAATAGCTTACTTTCTTTTTTTCGATAATAATTGTAGGATTGTTCAATTTGATCCTCCAGACGATCCCAAGGAGTACATCCATCGCGTTGGGAGGACGGCCAGAGGACTGAATGGTTTCTATTGGTTACCTCATTTTTCTTTGTTAAGTTTATTGGACAGGCAGGGGGAAGGCTTTGCTTTTTCTTATACCGGAAGAACTCGGCTTTCTACGGTATCTTCAGCATGCTAAAGTGGGGCTTCGTAGATCGTTGCGTTGGTCTTGTATTTATTTTTTTAATGACAGGTTCCCCTGAGCGAGTACTCATTTCCTACTAATAAGCTGGCCAACATTCAATCTCAAGTATATTTACTTATTAATAATATTATTTTTATATTACATTACAGAAAACCTTTATGTTCTCTAGCTTGAATTGTTAATAGAAAAGAACCATTATCTCCACAAGTCAGCAAGGGATGGCTTTCGGTCCTACTTGCAATCTTATGCCTCTCATTCTCATAAAGTACTGCAATTTTTTATGATCCATATTTATAACTTAATTATTATATTTTATTTCAGACAATTTTTGACGTGCAAAAATTGGATTTACAAAAAGTCGCTCTTGCTTTTGGTTTTAGAGTTCCTCCATCTGTAAATCTTAATGTTAATGCCAGCAAAAGCAAACTTATAAAAAGGCGCGGCGGAAGAGGTAATTTTTATTTAACTTAGCAGTAATAATTGGTATTGAAGTCTTCCATTTTTTAGGCGACTTTGGAAAGCAGAGAACAAAGAATGAAAAGTTAAAAGTCTTTAAACATCAGGCCAATTTAAAAGCGGGAGTTCAGTATTCTCGCTAGCAGTTTATATCAATAAATAAGTTTTTTCGTTTTTTTTTGTAACACTATAGCGTAGTACTACGGTTTCTTTTTACCGGTAATGCAGAGTTATATCGTACTCGAGTCAATTTATATTGGTACTTTATCCTCTCAAGTATCTTTTAATAAAATAGTAACTGTAAGAGCAAATAGTTTTATTGGTAGACTTCATTAGCCTTGAATGATATAGTTATTGACGTTTTTTAAGAAAACTTAAGCCCGTAAAAGTAGGAGCTTAAAGGGAATGTGAAATGGTTTGTTAACTTGCAAATAAACACGTATATAGTATTTGTGGCTACGTACTTATCAGAGAGAAAAATCCCTTGGGTGTAGTGCCTAAAAAGTTTTATAAATAGTTTATTACTTAGTTACTTTTTAGTTAAGAAGTTCTATAGCTTAAACGAAGGAATTACGCTAAAGGACACTTAAATTTACTACACATACATAAGGCTAATAGTTCTTTCCTGCTACCTATACGCGTAGTTCTTACTTAATTAACATAGCACGTCTGACGTGGCCCTGCAGGGGAAAGCCAGATAAAGTTTATCAAGTAAGTTTGCTTTTAACAACTTCTTTGCCATAACACCTTTTCATGTCTATCTTTGATGTCCGTTGCGTCAGGCTTCAATTATTTCCTTTACTCAATGCATTTTTCTTAATTTTTCAATATACCTGTTTGTTCTGTTTATATCAAAAATATTAAGCTAGGCAAATTCGTTATTTCAATATCTCTGAAATCTGAGAGAAGGGGGTTGCTCCCAAGAGCATGTGAAATTCTTATACTTTATATAACCGTTTTTGATTGAGACCACCCCTTCTCCTTGCAATCACTTGACTTTAGCAGAGCCTTTTTATACATTTGGGTGGTTTCTTCACAGATGCCATTAGACTGGTGACTATTTAACGTGATAAAAAATGTGATTTAACTTCATTGTCTTTAAAGTACTTACCTAGCTCTCAAGGGTGACACCTTACTCCACCGGGCTGGCCCCTTTTTCTTGGGTACGGCCCTTCTTCAAGCAGTTTTGCTCCCTTCGGGTTGAATGACACCATTTTTAAAGTCTCTTCTACATCACTCGCTATAGTAGAATTTTTATATAGCTTAAAAAGATCTTTATAATTCGTCTCTACCGCCACAACTCTCTCTTAAACTTTCCACCTTCTCGGGGGCGATATCAAGCTTATATAATGCCTATAGTCACTAAAAGTTACGATATTTTTTTAACGGTTACAACTAGATTTTTCACTGTTTAAATTTCTTGGTCAAGTCGTTCTATAAATCGCTCCATCTATTTCAACGCTTAAGCAATATGTTTCCTATTTTGTAAGTACTACTAACCCTCATTAATACCACTGTCTCCCCTCATAATTTCGATATGGCAGAATTCCACTGTTATTTCTGGCTCCTATACTCGTAGTTTTCCCCAATTAACTATAGAGTTTCTAATGCGACACTGAAAGTGAAAGCGAAAAAAAAAGTACGCTGATGACACGGCCTATCAAACTTTCCCTCCCTGGTATTCAAAAACATACAGTCTTATTTAACTATACTTGAGGCATGGTTTTCAACATGGAGGTTAATAATTAACGCGTTAAAAATTAGTCTTACAATTATAACAGGAGGTTGCTTCCCCATATCTCTAGTCTCTCTCCAAAGTGAACTGTATTTCCTCGAAGTAAAAAAGCTTAAATGTCTCGAGGGTATATTTAACGACAGCGGTTACACGTTGGCTGACTGTCTATGCACCTACTGCCCGACCTTTTCCTCGAGCAAACATATTTACCGACTACAAATACTAGAAAATTGCGTTCTGAGAATGGTGGTGGATGCCTCTTGGTTTGTGTGCAGCAGTCAACTACCTTGAGAGTGTAAACTCGAGCCTATTTAGGGATATCTTTATAAAACTTCACGGATTTGGCTTACTGAGGTCCAATAGTCACCATAATATACTAATTAGACAGGCTCTTGATTATAACTCATTGGTAAACCATGTACTGGTGGTTATAACATTTCTTAGACCTATTAGAGAGAAGTATGGTCCAAATTATAATTTATTAATATATACTTTATAATGGTACTAAACCTTAACTATCTTATTACATGCAATATTGTTATTACTTTGGTATTAAGTCTTTATTGATATAACTAATTAGTTTAGTAAAAGCGAATCCGTTTTCGTGTATGGCGAAATGAATCGTTAAGGATCCACGTTTTTCGCACCCTCAATTAATAGAGTGAAAGTAAATTAAGCAGCAACAATAAATAAATTAATAAATGAAAACTCGTGTGGGGTGGTGTTTTTTATTTTCCTCCCCCTTTTTTAGTCTCCCCTTTTAATTTCTTCTATTTAGTAAAGTTTACATATCGATGCTCCTATAAAGACAACTCTCCATCCCTGTGAAGTATTTGCCTATTGAATTTTATTAGAATCTTAGTTTCACACCGAACTTTATTACAAAATATGAAATCAGTATTTTTGTTTTCGAGGTATCATTTTATTCCTTAGGTAGCAATATCGGAGGTAAGGGACAAATAGCGTGATTAAAATATCCAACATAGGAACAAATATAAATTTATATATATATAATAACATACTAATTAGGTAATTTTTTTTTTCAACATTACAGGGTTCACATATATTTAAACTTTAGAGGTCATGGGGCCATCCTTAAGTAATCTTTTGATCAATAGAAATTTATATAGGATGAAGGCTCAATTACTCGATAGTTCTCTAGAAGAGTCTAGAAGGGAAAGAGAAGATGTGAAAAAAGGGCTGAGGACTTTTAGGTATACTAAGAGGTAACAATGTTATAAACGCTGTTTTAGGTTTGGGGGAATTGCTTAATGTATGAATTATTAAAGAAGTTAAATAGAGTTGGTATTTAAGCACTACTAAAAACGTAGCTGGCCTATATAATTTATTATATAGAAATAATGATTATGCTTGTTCTATAAGCTTTTTCTACGTTCTACCAACGGATGGCTACACCTCCCCCATTGGACATTTCCCAAAAAAAATAAAGTGGGTTGTGTTATAACTTTTATATGCAAATCGTAATTTTTCCAAAAGAGCTGCCAATTTCTAGGGAATCGTTACAGTAATTAATCAAAATATACATAAATAAAATGAATAGCCGGCTATTTTTCTTAGCAGCCTTTCAAATTATTATATAAATATAATTTTACTCGCACCCAGCTAAAGAAATTAATTATAGCCTAGAAGTGTTTATGAGTTAACGATGTTAGGTTTACCACCACAGCAGAAAGTGGACGCCCACCTTAAGGGAGCATAAAATTATTTAAGATATCAGATCCTAACAAATGCCTCTAACGAAATGGTTTTTTGTAATATGACTTTAAATTACCCATCTTAGGTATATAAATATGTGGATATATGAAGTTGGTATTTACAACGATTAGTTCGAGCGTAACCCTTCGGCTCCGTTTTTTGAGCGTGGTGTCCAACTATTATAAACGTGCGAATCTAAGGTTCATATATCAGTCGGAAGTCCGTGTTTTGCAGAAAGTGTAGTCTAAAAGGAAAACTGGACGTACAGTACGTGCGTGTCTATGTTTTACACATGCGCTCTTGTTGGACAACAGTTAAAAAGTAAGCAAAAGAAAAAAAAATTATATATATAACCATACGAGCAACCAAAATTATACCGCATATAAGGCAAGGTTTAACTCGAAATACAACTTAAAAAACATCTACTTAACCATATATTAACCCCTTACAGGTTGCCGGTTACTAAGTTTACCATTTGTCGCCTAGGTCCAATTTGCGAAAGTAGGTCTATGGAAACTGACCCTAAACGTCAGGCTAGGTCTCTGAAACAATCTCTGGTAAGTTTGAGCACCATGTTCGAACGGATTAGACAGCAACCAAAAAAACATAAAAAGTGGTAACTTTAGTGATCAGTAAAAGTAAAACAAATCTATTCTATGCCTAAAAGTTTTGCCTGTTAATGGGGTAGTAATTTATTCATATTACAAAGTATTTATCAATAAACATAACCGTCGTACAAAGATAAAAAATAATTTTTTATACCTTAACTGACGTTCGTCAGACGTAATAGACACAAATAATTTAAACAAAAGACAGTCAAAGAACACGAGTTATAGTATGGAAGAACAAAACACACCTCACCAAGTTTTTTACAGGGGAATTTGATCAGTGATAAATTCAATCAATAACCAGAACTTCAGCTAAAGAAAAATGAAAAGAAATTAATAATAAGGGGTTCTTTTTTTATTCGGGTCAAATTAGCTATGAGAGATGTTATAAAAACTTTGAACACCAAAATTAATTTTTACAAATTCACAAACCCTTTGTAAAGGTGTATACAGAGAAAAAATGTGTAATAAAAGTGTTGTTGTACCACAAACTTTAAATTTTAATTTTTTTCAACTATTTTTTCTTATTAAAACTATTTAAATAATGAAAAAATTTAATTTTAACCAAAAAAGCATTAATATTTGTATAACTTCTTAAATTTTATATACCCAGGCTCATATACGAAAATATTAATTATAACCACTCCATTTCAGGTGTTAAAAGATACAACATAGTTAAAAAAAACTTATTATTGGTCTTATAGGCTTAAAACTTGTGGAACTAATACTTATAAACAATAAAATAATAAAAAAGCATATATCATCTTACAAAAAATTGTAATATAGGGTTAGTCAAAGCTTAAAAAAACTGTTATTTTATTAATAGCTTTTGAGCTTCATGAGTATCACAACACCCGCCACCTACCTGTCACTTACAAACAATATGCAAAAAGAAAGAGAACGGCGGGCACGTTATCCCCTATAGTTGATAATTAGTGTTAAATAAATCCCCATACAGTCATCCCTTATAACGATGCCACAAGAAATAAAAGAATTTAGCCTTTTATAGAGGGACAAAAATATGCCATTTCGTGGGGAAAAAGTCGATGGCCTACATTTCTATGCCCTTGCGTTTGTTATTCTTTTCTTTTTATTAGCATTACCTAATGAGATCTGCATATTTCGCTATTACACTGCTAAACTAGAGGCCTGGCCCTCCAGATTTTTAAAATGATACTTGTCTATGTATAAAGCCCAACCAAATTCTAAAGAGATTTTAATGACCTTTTACTTGAAAACTTCAATGTCTTTAGTTTCTTCCCAATCACATTTAATAAATTTTTGTTATTTTTGTTAAGTTTGCGCCCCATCTCACATGGCCTTTGCTGTTAAACTGTAGCGGTTGAGAAGATATTGCAAACCTTAACCGCGAGTATTTTTGGCAGTAGAATTTAAATGCTCAAGTTATTTAAATTACTGTTCGATATTACTTATAAAAAGAAGAAATAGAAAAATCTTATTTTATAAGCACTGAAATAATACTTTGTTGACTTTTTAAAGACTCTAACGCATAATTAGTAGGTCCCTTCTAAAGAGGTTTTGAGCACGAGGGCTAACCTAGTGCGTACTCTCGTAGGAAGCATAGACAGCTATTCCGAGTGCTACTAAACAACCGGGGACATACTAAACTCAATCCCCATCTTTGATAAATTTTTCTTCACGCCAAAAAGTGGATACCTACCTTAAGGGGGGAGAAAATCATTTATTAAGGTACATAATCTTACACCTCCAGGTCTAGCGTGTTAAAATACCGCTTAAAAACAGCACCAGGAGAGGTATTTCCGGGCACTAGACTTCAAGGCCCCCCTACTTGTCACCAGCCTCAGTACAATCACAAATGATTTAAAAAAAAAAAGTACTGTCACGTGTGAAGGTAGCCCATCAGATTTTTCAGGGGACTATTTTAATACTTTGTTAGGATACGTTTTGTGCAAAGCCCGAAATGCTTACGCTATTGTTTTACAATTCAAAATGTGAACTTTAACAGTAAAACGTTAAACGCAAGTAGAAAAACACCTAAAAATACATATATAATTTAAAAACATTTAACTTTTGAAGCATGCTTATAAAACTTCTTAATTATAAACCTAAAAGCAGTGTATAAATACATGAATTAACAAGAGTATTTAATATAGCTTACAAGTAATAGCACTAATAATATAAAATGACTATCCTATACCAAACAGCCTTTTCGCATAATTTTATTGAACAAACCGTAACGCCCTGTTTATTACCGAATAAAGTGAAAATCAGTATCTTCATTAAGTTGTTTTGCAATACAGACAAAAGCTCATTGCCACGAATAAGCCCTTTGTATTTTTTTTTTCTTTGTGCGACTTTTACACAGGCATTCCATCCAAATTTTTCAAGGTTCTTACTTTCCTTGGTATAGGCTTTCTTTAGAGCGCGTTATTACTTAATTTTTTTAGATTGAGGCGCTTAGCCTAGGAAAATAGGACGGATTGAAAAATTAATATAATATAAGCTCATTGATACTCCTTATTTTCTTATCTATCTTGCTAAGTCCTTCTGTCAAGACTTCTCTATTGCTCGCCTTTTTCTGTATCCGGTTATTAACAACTTTTTTTTGCATAACTTAATAATTAAGAAATTATAAGTGCTAATAAACTTGTTAAAAAACGTTTGTTATATATATCGGCGTATGTATTGTTATAGGAAAGTCCTATCGTTTCCTATCTCCTATTATGGGGTAAAAGTAAGGCAGAGCTTTTTTGGACCTTTATCCGTAAAAATAACCCCTATCAGGGTTAAGTAATGTTGTTATCCATAAGGGTTAATGAAGCACTAGCATGGTTTTACGCTGGCCATTTAGCACTATTTATCAGCACCATTCTTAATTTTAAATTGGTCCTTGAGTATTATTTCATGCATTTTTATAACTAAGAAAGCTAGTGTAGAGTTACTCTCTTCAACACAAATACACTTATTTTATACTTTTTGTATTATGGGATTCCTGGCAATACATTTTTATAACTACTTTGGGGCTGTTTTATGCCTACAGAACTACTTGAGTAACAAAACAGTACCCCAGTCAGACGTGAACACCAAGTAGATAAACAGGTTTTTTTTAAACAAATCATGATATTAATAGAAGCGATTAAGTTTAAATGCAAAAAAGCTACAACTAACAAAAAAATCATTGTACTTCGTAAAGTAATTTTGCCTTAAATTTACAGAAAAAATAAATAAGATTAATAGTAGTGTATACAACTAAAATTTAGTAGGAAACTTTTCACTTCTGAGGTTTGGTTTCTTTTAAGAATCGGTTTTCACTATAACGGAGAGAAGACTTTTGAAGAGATCAATTTGCTGTTAACGCCGATATCATAAAAGAAAAAATATATATATAATTTTTAAGACAAAAATTGTAAATAAAAAGCCTTTGAAAGAAAATAACTCTTAAACTACATATCAAAAAAAATTAAAAAATCTCTTATTTTTCTCTCAACAACATTTGGACTAATATTAATAACTCGTTCTTTATCTTTATAACATTCAGAAACATTCCATAAATACTTTTTAAAAAAGGGAATAAAATATAAAAGCAAAGACCAGGCGAGCATGCTGAATTTGGCAGTCAACCAATGAACGAAGTGCAGTTTTTATGCAAGTCCCTCTTCTTGAGTCCCATTCGTTGAACTTAAAGGAAAGAATTTAAAAAAGCCAAACAAATATAAAGTTTTTCAATGAGAAACCTCTTGGGAAATAACCACAGACTGTTCTTCAAGAAGACGCTCGACTTTACTCTTCTTTTTTTGAAGCTTTTTTTTTATTTATTTTAGTAATAAATAAATTTAACAAAAATAAATAATTTCAACTTCTATAATTGAAAAAACGACTTTAATATTATTGTAGTAATGTAAATAACTGACATCGTTAATATCTGCATCGAGATGCTCGAGTTTTTCTCTTTGTATCTGCTCTGAATTCTTTCCAACGAAACGGCCGAAGCTCAATCCCAACTGCCGTTCCGTATAAAATATTTAAAAGAAACAAAGGCAGAAGGGCCACACCTGCCCTCCCTCGCAAGCAATCTTATCTCGAGTCTTTTTGTTGACCAGGTCGTGCAATGTTTCCTTGTGAACAACGAGATCATTTTCATAAGCCAGTGTTCTCTGCATATAATAATAGCATAAAGAAGACCCAATTATATCTAAAGAATATAAATTTCAACCAATCAAAAAAATTACCTGGACAGAAGTTGTTGTCAAATGTTGAGCATGCAAAGGTATTACAACGGAGCGAAGGTACCGGTGTCCCTTTTAATGCTATTAATAATGATATATATAGAATAATATAAGAAAAATTTAACAAATTTCACGAAGAAAAGGGCCAGTTCCTCGAAGAGCTTAGAAAATGCCAGACTGGGCTCGTCGGCCAGAGAATCACTATCTCTCAGAGCAATCACACCCTCCCGTAGTTTGTTATACAACGCAGAAGAATCTGAACAATCAATCGTACGTTTGTAGGAAAACGTTTTACTATTGTTACTGTTACTATGTGGTATGCATATATACTGTTATAAACTTATTTGGGATAAAAGTCTTAATAAGTTTGCATAACAAAACGTAAGGGCGATAGGAAAAACCGAAGTAATGCTTCGTAATAAAAGTAAAATTTGAGTCCAAGATGGCCAGCGGGGGAGAGAGGGCCAAGCAGTATCCGTATCGCTCAGAAATCTATAATAAGATAATGTTAAACAAAATATATAAAAAGTTTAAATTTTGAAAAAAATACTGAAAAACTATTTTTAGTAACTAAAATTGGTAATTATTTTAAAAATATTGAAATTATTATAGTTTTTATACATCAAGTACTTTATAGTTGCTTGACTCAAAACACTGAATGTTTGAACTTTTTGGCTTCAAGCAATCCACGGGGTTATCGCTCGCAGGCATAAAAAAGTCCTTTTTTAATACAAGTTAAAATAAATAATTACCAATAAACAAAGGTTAAAATATAAATTTGTGATTTTGTATTACATAAAATATATATGTATTAATTGTAAATATATTTTAGTAACTGCTAATGATTTGTAATATTTAATATTAATAGTAAATCATAAGATTTGTATAGAAAAAAAGTACGGCAGCGTCGCCTTCAAGAAAGTCCAATAACAAATTTGACTTAGAGAGTTTTGGGTGGGAAGCGAGGCTGTTTAAATAAAACTCCAAAGAACACATCCGATGCAACGTGTCCTAAAAAAATCGTATATATGATTCACTAAAAGATTAACAATATTCTTAATATCATGAAATATTAATATAAAAAACCTATAAGATTTTTGATATGTAATAAGTAAATTTCATCTGGTGTACTAAAATTTTCATAAAAAAAAAATTATGCTTTAAAAAAAACTAAAAAGTAGTATAACTGAAAGTAAAAATAAAGAAAATGAATATTAACCCAATAATTTTCTCAAATTTATTTAAAATAAATTTAAAATATTTTTTTATATCATAATTCCATATTTATAAGTTTATTTACTATTTGTTCGTCTTATTCTCAGTTTTATACTTCTCTTTCTTAAATGTTAAATACGTTAAAGTTATTCATTTACCTAAATCTTTTTTTTAATAGTACGAAAATAAGTTTAAAATGAAATTATAATGAATTAAATTCATATAAGATTGATAAGTTTTCAAAATATTTAATTATTTTCTAAATATATGATATACGAGTTTAGATTTATAAGAAAATAGATTAATTTAAAAACCTGCAAATGATATAATAATAGTTATAAGAAATAAACTGATCAACCTCCTCGTTTACTACTGTCAGGTGGGTGCTTGGCAAGCCGGGCAGAATGCAACAAGGATGTTGCTAACCAAATATAGCAATAAACGAGTTAATAATACATTATTCGTTGCACACATATATAATCTGCGTATAACTTTTTTTTAAATTAAGTATAGAAAAAGTTTTAAACTAAACTGCTAATTAACCAACGCTTTGTTTAGTTATTAAAGAAATAAAATTATTAAGTATTTATTACCTGCGTAGTACTATTAAAAATTTATTAATATCTTTTAAGATAACATTAAAGTACTGTTTTTTTTTTAAGCCTAATGTTATCGAGAATTAAAAAAATAGTATAATAAAATAAACATTAATAAGTTTTTAATTGACTGTAGTGTAAAAAGAAAGCTTTCATGGTCGATAAGAAGCTTTTACTCCTAGTATTAAAGAGCTACAACTCAATATATTTATCTCATATATTAAAGTTTTACTAACGAAATACAGCTTTCAATGAAACAATTATATATAAATTAACTTACAAGGGTCAAACCTTGATGAAGCCACACAAAGTGGTTGTACCGTCTCTTGGAGGAAGAAAATAAATTATTGTTTTTCTAAATAATAAATAACAGAAAAGTAACTAAATAGAGAAAGAAATAAGTAAAAAGTCAACCTTTGCTTCTACTATATACTCAAAGTGAAAACCGACTGAATCATCTAAAATAAAAGCAAAGTTTCTTAAGTAAAAGAACATAATATTGAAGAATAAAAAACAAAAGTAGAAAATTTGAAAAGGAATTAATATACTAACTGATCTTTTCGGGATCTTTAACAGTTATTTTCAGAATATCAGAATCTTGGTTAAAGCAGGGGGAAAGGTCAGCTTCGGACTGGATAACCAATTTAGTTAGCCCTGGAGAGATACATTGTATTATTAGTTTTTAATAAAAAACATAAAAAAATAACAACCGGAATTTTCATATAAGTTAACTTTAGAGTTAAAAACTGTAGATGATTCTTCGTCCTATTAAAATTGTAATAAAAGTTTGTTAATGGAATACCAAATATTATACGTACAACCTATAATAAAAAGAAACCTGAAAACTTTCTTCAGAACAAGTAGAACACTCTGTATAAGCTTCTTCCATCATATCTGCTTACTTCAACGCAAATACTAATTATTTGAGTAACACTAAAGTAGTGTAATGTGTAAAAAAGCAAACCAATCACCTAACTTGTGGGATCCTAATTTGATAAGAGGGCCCATCCAGTTTGAACAATGCTTTAAATTTTGACGTGGCCTCAAACCTTACTTTTTTTTGCTGGTTAGAGATGTTGTTTATTGATTATTATATATTTTAGTACCTTTAAATCTCTATATAATAATTCAAAAATAGAGGGTGCTTGAAGAATACAAGGTTATTAACTTTAAGCTTTCAAAGTAAAAACACTTAAAATATTGGACGGCTATTGCCCCTCTCTCTTAAAAATGTGTTATGTAGGGACTAAAACTAGTTTTAAAGTGAGTTTATACCTAATGGACCTTTTTGGACTGTCATTACTATTAACTTTTATGAGCCTTCTTAAATAACAGCATGTAGCCATCGTTTTAATTACGGTATTAATAGTAACTTCGGTTTTTTGGTTTGTATATAAGCTGGCACCCTACCACCATAATTTCTTAAACAATTATGTTAAATGAGCCAAAATTCATGTATATTATGTATATATAGATTATTATATAACTTTCAACAGCCGTGTCAGAACTGTGCTATATTCTAAAATTGTTTAATGTTTATAAATAGTGAGGCCAGCCGGTTCACAGATTGAACTGGATCTCTTGGACCTCTTATCGTAACTGTTTCTATCTTGATATAAGTACTAAAAATTAATCATATATTTATAATTAACACTTTTCTATAGGCTAAAATATTTTACCCTCTTCGTATAAACAAGGTTCCTTCGTTATTTTTGGTATAAGTAGGAATAAATGTATATAAATACATTGTAAATATATTGGACAATACACTTCAATTTTAAAACAAGGGTAAAAAAAAAAAAATTAAATTATACCTGTATGAGGGCTTGCTTCCTCTATTTATACCGGGCCAATATGCTTAGTAAATGCTCGTTGCCAATAAAATATTTAAACTCCTTATATTTACCTTTAGATTTTCTAAATTTTATATTTTAAAGATGCATATAATAAAAAACAATTCATTGCCTGGTAGACTGCTTTTAATTTTTCGGAAGCTAGACTTTTTCTAAATTTTATAATTAAGAATATTAAAAGAAAACAATATGACCACCAGCTCTTAAGATTTTAAAGAGCATACAAAAATCTATTGCCTACCATATAAGACAAAGGCTAAGACCCTCTTTAAATATTATAGTATACAGTTAACTTTAAAGAGATTAGTTTCCTAAATAATTAAAAGTGATATGAGAGTAGGTAATCCTTAGTCCTCATTTCAGTGTCTATAGTAAAAAAAAAAATTTGCATAAAGTTTTACATAACTTTAAAAATTTATATATTCCCCGAGAACACATTTAAAGTAAATTGTAGTATTTTAGTTTCAGTTTGCCTATCAACAAGGGTACTACTTCTTGTCATTTTCGATATGCACCATAATGAAATAATTCACAAGAAAAATAGCTACCTAATTAAATTAAAAACTAAATAAATTAACAAAAAAGGATTTTCATTAGTCGTGATACCAATACTGATTGATTCTTCGAACCGTTCGAAAATTACTATAAAAAGTAATTTCTTAAGAACTAATTTAATAAAAAAGGTAGTGAAATTAAATTTGATTAATATATCGAATCTGTTTTTTTTAGTATGAATAACGGGAAGTTTTTACAATAAAAACAGCTGACAAGCTTTACTATTAAATATAGTCATATCAATTTTACATTTTTATTTTTTAATTACATATTATAATATCCTATTTTTATTTTACCATAAATTATAATAATAACCTTATAATTAAGCTCACTAAGGGAAGTGCATAGTTGTATTAAAAAATAATTATTTCGTTTTTACTTATAACGTTTATTTAGCATATAACGATAATGCCCTACTTTCATAAGTTGTCAGCGTATGCCAGTTGTTAAATTATTGACGCAAAAAAACCAATGTTACGGTTCGATTTTTGTTGGTGCAGCTTACACCCTTTGGTTTCGGTGGTTTCGTGTTCATAAATTATGTCACCTTATACATGTACATATTTTATTTTACAGATGTATTTCTTATACATATTATCTTTTAAAATATAAGCCTTACACGATCTGACCTTTTCTCTCGACCATTTGTTACCGTTTACCTCAATTGAGCTTTGAAGTGTTATTTTAATGTAACTATATAGTCGAAATATGTTTGACTAAGAATAAGTAAAAAGTGTAATTTATTTAAATCTTTGCTAAAAGATAATATATTAGATTATTTTTAAAAAAACCAACGGATGTTCTTTTATTGTTTGTTTTCTTTGAATATATAGTCCACTCAGTAAGCAAAATATAGAAGACAAAAGTTTATATATAAACATATATATTTTTTTTATTTATTAAATAAAGGTTACCGGCTGTAACTCGGTGTGTTTGGCACTCGGGGTCAACGCACTTAGATATTCAAGCTAGGAACTTAATATTGCTACTTATCTTGTCTTGCGTAGCCTTCTGAAATAGCACCGAAATAATGAAGAAAGCTAATACGGTGATAACACTAGTATCTACTAAGATAAGGATACTAATACTAGTACCCCCCATAACAATACGTAACCGAAACTTCTTGAGTGAAATGTCTGTATAGAATTTAGATTCCGTACAGCACGAATTTATATTTTAATAATTGAGGGTAGCTATATAATGCGTATTAGGTAGATATATATTAATTGTATGGTATGTAGACTATCGTTCAAAATTGTTTCTGTTTTAAATTTTTTTGTAAAAATTCTAGAACGCTTTAATTAACAATTTGTTATATTGATTCCTTATATATATAAGTTTAGATTGAGATCTATTTAATGTAGTTTGTATTAAAGGAATTGCTTTCATATTTATCTTTATCTCTTTTTAAAGTTTAATTATCGATTGAAAAGATTTTGCACGTGACCCCTTTTGGTGCAAAGTTGTTTTAAGCTGTATACGATATTTTCTTGCTCCCTCCACCATAGGGGGTTTTTTTTAAGCATTTGAGTGACTATAAAGTATAGCTTATTTAGAGACCCTTAATTTAATAATGCGTAAATTTTTAATCGATAAAGAACATGATGTAAAATGTCTTTTAGATCAAGGCAACCCCTATACTGAGATCACTCGTGAATATGGTGTCAGTAAGACCACAATATCCCTGATCAAACCTCAATATGATCGAAATCTTCCTTGCAATGTACCTGAGCATCCAAAGACCTTAAAAAAACCGGGATATAGCTCGACTTGTACGATAAGTGACATTGGTGCAATTGAATCAGCACAGAAAGCTTCAAAAATCATAGAAATAACGTTAGATAGACCATTTTCAAGATCGACCGTGTCGAGAGCATTGCATTCTTCAGATCTTCATACGAAAAAAAAGGTAATTAAACCCACTTGGACAAAGCGTCCCAAGCGACTAAGATTTGAGTTTGCAAAGAAGTACGGAAATTGGTCCATTTCTGACTGGGAAAAGGTAATTTTTTTCGGGCAAGGTTAAGATCAATCGATACGGCTTAGAAGGTATTAGGTGGTGTTGGAAGCAATCCGGCGATAAACGAATACTTGATTCACCGGGTGGTGCAAACGTATAAACATGGGGAGGATCGGTTATGATTTGGTACTGTATAACACCTAAAAGGGTTGCATATATGGAAATAGTGCTAGGGAGCATCACCAAAAAGCACGTATTTAAACATTATTAAGAATGGCCTACCAGGAACATGTGATTGGTATGGCCTTGGCCTTAATAAAATGGTTTTTCAGCAGGATAATGCCCCATGAGTCATGCTGCCCTATCGGTTCGATCATGGCTCAAATTACAGTCGAACCAAGTGCTAGACTGGCCCCCGCAAATTCGTGACCTCAATCTGATTAAACATGCATGGGGAAACTTAAAGAAAAAATCGGGATCATATGAATCAGCTTCTGCTAACTTGGGCGAGCTTTGGACACATGTACAATCAGAATGAAAACTATAAGATCGGATCAATGCTAGAATCTGGTTGCCAGTATGCCAAAGAGGATACAAGCAGTGATTCTGGCAAAAGAGAGCTATACTAATTATTAAAACCTCGTTTATTTTTTTCTCTACGTGCAATATTGTTTCTATAATATTACAACTTTACGAGCTCATATCTCTTTAAATTAAGATCAAGTATTAACAATATGTAGCTAGAACATAGAAGTTTACTGGATATAAATTTTAAAGTTATCCATTACGTTATTAAAAAGTTATTCTATATTAAATGAAAAAATGCAAAACATTGAAAACACGGGTGGTTCGCTCATTCTTTGTACTCCTCTCTTTCTTTCCTTTTAAGTGTTTACCGCGTTTTTTTTGTTGTAGTTTTACCTTGGTCTAAAGGATCAGCGATATTATAGAGATAATAATTTTTTTTCCAGAGGTCTAGAAGGGAAACTAAAACATCTAGAAAGCGTTTTAGGCGAAGTAGATAAATAACTTATAAGTCCACAGGACAACTAAGCAAACCCTAAGTTAACTAGTTTTAGAGGTTTTTTTCACAGATTAATAAAGTTTTTTAAACAGTATCCACCTATAAAAGCCAGTAAAAGTGAGTTTTCATCGTTGAGCTGAAGACCTGATATATAAGTTTTCGCATCTTCCCGAAGAGGACTTTAAAAAATTTACTCATTTTTTTGATTCGGAAATGCTTGAATATTATATATATATAGGCTCTTGAATAAGAAAGCTTAAAAGAGTCTTCTAAGGTATCTTTAAAGAAATGAATGTAAAAGACGGCAAACGAGATCTAGAAAATCAAGGTTTCTACCCGAATGAGGTTATAAAATGCGAATTCCCTGCCCTTGGTCTTTAATGTAATTTTTGTGATGTTGAAAATATTTGAATTCATTTTTACCTCCTGAGAACATTTTAAAAAGAATAGCAGCAGAATTAGACAATTTATTCCCTGACAGTTATACGGT